AACTGGATCACTAGCTTTGGGTCCATCCTAGGAATCAAAAGCCCTTTGGTCGCCTCATCAAACCGCCGGCGCCTTTTTCGTGCGGGCGTGATTGATTGATCCTTTGAAATGGATGAGGGCGGAGACTGGGAACAACGGATATTCCATGATCACCCGCTTATCCCTGCTTCAATTGTATAATATTGTATAAATGTAAAAACAGCAACTCATAACCGATATCTATTAATAATCCCTACAATAGTTTGCTTTGAAAGACTGTGAACTTGTCCACATTTGCTACTCAGGAGGGGATTGAACTTCCCAAGCGCAGGCCTTGGAGAGTTTTGGGATCCAGTTGTAAAGTGGAGCTTCAGTCTTCAGCCTCAGGAAGACCTTTGTGGCCACAAGTTACGCCACTGGAAGATTGGGTGTTAAATTGAGTTCAACAAGTAGGCTTTGGGTCCACTCACCGTTTTGGGGTACAACCGCGGGGATCGACTAAAGATTTGCGACCGCGTGCGACGAACCCTGCATGGAGAAATGATACCCAGAAATGCCCCATCATCCACGAATCACGGCCTCGATGCCAGGAACCCTGGTTCACCAAAGAATCATTGCACTTCAACTTCAGGATAGTCTGAAGCCTCCAAAATTTGTTCAGTCACAGATTTGTCACTTGCATCTCTCACATCTCTGACTTTGGTTGTGCCTGTGCAACAGAGGAGGGACATTGATAACACTAACACATCTTGAGGATGGTCAATTTTGCGGTAGACTCGGGAGACTGTCATTCCAAGGCCCAGACGAGGGGTCGTCCAGATTACTGGCTCAGTCTCTTGGCCAAAATGATCGCAAGATGAACACTGTATGCTGGGTGTTGCGACTGTAGGCAAGGGCATGTTCCTTTCCTCGCTTACTGATTTAGGGAAATAATTACCGTGGAATGGAATAGAGTTGTTTGATCTTGTTTGAGTCCTTGACTGTACTGGTACAGCTGACTTAGACATACTTGGACATAGTTTAACAGGCCAAATACGCGCTGCGAGACCCAAGTCGAGGGACGAGGCCTCAAATCAGAGATGTTGGTTGAGAATTGTCTTGAACAGGGGTAGTTTGATGAGGTACACTTCAGACAGCTATCTACAGTACATGTCTCTCGCGGCGTGTTTCATTAGCACCTCGGGGCCCCGCTCCCGCATTGCTTGGGCAGGGTCGGCGAATCATACAGTTTCGACTGGCTTGGCAAACTGGTCCAAAGTTCCAAATGGATAAGCTCAGGAGAAGATGAACTATTTCATGCCGAGCCAAATTGGTGGTCCCCAATACATGGACGTGGCTGCCTCAATTTTCGGACAGTCCCTTCCGATCTTTACCGACTTCACAAGCCTAATGAAACTCTTGTCCTACGCAGAGATTGACATAATTTGTTGAGCATTAACACCTCACATATATATATTATATATATACACACTACAGTACTACAGATGATGCCAGAATTGTCTTGGTAATGGCACCCTGTAAAGCTTTTGATTGTGTGGTCGACTAGGATCTTGTTTGCCAATGGCCCATGAGTTGATGGCTCATCAGGTGATCTCGTCGATCCGCGCGCAGTTGCCCATCCCACAGTGGCTGGTGCCCTTGGAGCTTGTAAAGCGCTTCTTGGTGGGGAACCCAAGTGCAATTGCTCGAGAGAGCTGGAGCTGATGATCTTCATGCGCGAGTCGAAAGCCAAGATAAAAGAGCCACTTACCCATAACAAGTGCTGCAGCGGTCTGCATATGCGAGGGTGGTTGACAATGAGAAACGCTCCTGACAGCAAGCGTTAGTCCTCCATGCATAATTCACGTATGTATGCGTTGCTAATGCATCGAATATATTGGAGTATAATGGAGTATATAGGGCTGCTATGCTACGTTGTGCATGTGCGTATTGTAGTGTCATGGCAGGTCATATCACTTGACGTCACGGGTTTATTTTGATTTACTGTGCTCACTGCATTTCACTTGTTGGAGGCTTACTTCTGCCTTTGTGACCGGCTCGCATTTGAAAGCACTGAGTCCGCATGTTTGTAGATTCAAACGAAGACTGGATGGCAGACGAGATCCCAATCAACGTAAGGCCAAACATGGCAGACGAGTACGCTTGGACCAAGAGGTTGAAATTGAATGAAATTGACGCTTGACTTTCTCAGGCAGACATTTTTACTGGTGCTTTGAAGCAAGTCATTGAGCACGTGGCCTCCAAATGGGCTGGACACTGAGAAAGGGGCCATTTCTGGCAGAGTGGACCTGACTGAGATTCAGGTTGGGCTGGTTTGGGGTTTTCCATATACGTATGATAGCATACGCATGATAATATATTATAACTATTCATAATTCATAATATGCTCAACATGTTGGTTGGGTGACACCGCTGTCAAGAATGAGAGATGGATGTGTTGCTTCATGGTCTCTTACTTACATAATAGAGGTAGTGAGCGCGTTGCCGCCTTTTAAACAAAGCTTGTCCATACTTAAAAGATGCTGAGAATTGCATGCTGTGCAATCGGGTAGTGCCATGTTCAAGCCATTTCATCTCTTCCTTTCATGCTACCGGTACCGAAACTTACCCCTCGAGCTCGGGAGGGTGTTCTTTGCAAAGGGGTTGCAGCCGCACGCTTCGTTTGTGGTGCTGCCGGACTTCGGGTGCCGTATTTCCGGCTCCGCTACCTTTTGCAGATGCGTATATATATATATATATGATATATATATATATATATATGGTATGGGATCATTTCATGGTGTGTTGTCCAGGTCGTTTTTTGAACCCTTCTACCCTCTCGCGAGGGAACTCTGCCCCTTCTGAGGAGGATCGGCCTTTCGTCCATGCGATTGAGAAAGACCCGAATTTTTTTCAGCAGGTTCAGGTGCCGACGCGAGGGATATGACAGTGTTTTGTGAACCTCATCCATTGATGTTGTCAGCTGCAGTCTGTGCCCGCATGTAAAGTTGGCCGTATGTGAGGTTCAATGTTTCCAGAGGTGTATATACAGTGGTATACAAGCCCTTTGAACGACATTTCGTGGAACTTTCATGATGATATGTCAATCCTCTTCCCAACCTGACGAGATGGCGCCGGCGCTGGAACCCCAACACCTCAGCACAGGACATCATAGACACGGCCAAGTCGTGAATGAGACTCAGTGAGACAGTGACCTCGATACCTTGTTTTCCCTGCAAGGCGCGGTCGCTTCGGGTAGTTAGGCCTGCCCAGGGAAAAAGCCGATTGGCGCCAGCTTCTTCACTGGCAGAAAGGTGCTCACACGGTTCGCACGGACCAAGTGTTTTTGTTGACAGTAATTTGAGAACGATGCAGAGAATCTTGTGATTTGCATAGCTGGTCAAACTGGCCCCATCGATGCAATTTTTCCAAATTGGACCCTGGATGGATGGTGAAGTCCAAGAAGTCAGTCCAAGTGTCAACCTTCAAACCTCTACAAATAGGATCGTTCAGTTGACCTTGCTGCGAATCCTCCCCAAACCGAACAGAGAGACTGAGCTCAATTATGTTCAATTAGCCAATTAAAATCTTCATTTTGTTTGTATGCTTAGTCAGGGGTGAATCGACCCAGTCTCGCTTGCATGTTTGGTAAGGGAGTGCTTGCAGATCTATCCATCCATTGCTGCCATGGCTACATGTTTAAAGCCCAGAGGGTTTGCTCTAAGAGCAGAGCCTAAAGATTGCACAAGGGAATGCGGTGTTTGGCCAGGGGCGCTTTGATAGCTTTGCAATGGGCTCGTAACAGGAGTCGACCAAGACTGACATGGAGAAGAATCCATCATCAACTGCCGAAGGCAGTCTCAGTCTGGCAGAGCTTCAGCAGCCCAGACGCGGCCAACCAAGCAGTGTATCTTGTATTGCTTTACCTTGTTTTGCCAATAAATTGTTCAATAGTCTTAGAAACGAATACAAGAGTCGTCGCGCACTATATGTTTTGTGTATTTTGGTGCAAGCTTCAAGGTTAATGGCCTGGTGTGTCCGGCTCTGGTGAGCAAGGAGACAGCTGGATAGTGAGGTGTTCTTGTATTGCTAAAGACCGTTTTCCTCACACAAGCAATGCAACTCTGACTCAGATTCTAAGCTAGTTTCAAAGCAAGAATGGCCCAGAGTAGATTCTCAAAAGGGGGATACATGTTGTGACCCACTACCGCCACCGCTATTTTCTTAGAAGCTGCATAAGCAGGAGCATCTTTCCTGGTCAAAAGGTAGTTTTCCACGTTGTTTTGTAGGCAAGAGCATAGGAAGGAATCCACCGTAGTGTTGGCTGTGTCTTGTGGCTAGACATTTAGCAAATATTCCCAAATATTAACATTCCGATTTAATACTTGCTGCAAGGGCCGATGCTGCACCAAAAGCCTCTTTGAGGACGTGTAGATCAAGCAGGACGTGAACATTTAGATTTTGAGTGCAGCGGGCCACTGATTCTGCAGCCATGTTGTTGCTTCGGCATTCCTCAGGATGTACATATTTCCCTGACTATGCTAATCAAAACAGTGCGATTGCGGGGATTTGTCAGGTGTGTGGGAAAGCTAGGATCCGTTCATGATTGTACAATACAAGCAAAAGACATAGAACGCTACTGGGGCTCCTGGACTCCTGGCCTTACTACTAGGAGCAATGTTCGCTACTAGGGGCTCCTGGCATCGCTACTAGGAGCAAGGACGCTACTTGGGGGCCCTACTACTAGGAGCAATACAAGCACTTCATTTTGAACTTGGAGATCTCGGTTGACTGGGCCTTGCGTGACTTGACCCCCCTTTGCTCGTGAAGACTGTCACCCATACATCCAAACACAGCAAGGCAGGGTTCATCAGAGTGGCGTCCAACTAGTAAATATGGGTAGATTCCCACCCTGATCACGAATTTTGTCGTGTGTTACCTTTTGTTGTTACGAATTCATGGTTGATGGGATGCTCTGAAAACACCAACCAGAAATCTTCACATCTGCACTCGTGACTGGAGGCGACCAGTCACCTTGACAGGTTGATACTGGAGGCCTCTCTCCAAAGGCTACAGAGGCGATAGAGGCGTAGAGAATCACGGGAATGTGAGCAGGGCAAAGACAGAAGCATGGCTCATGTCCTCACTTCTAGACTCGGCAAGCGAGTACCTCTTGACTCTTATGACCGTTAAGCTCAGTGTCAAAGAGTTTGAAAGAGGCGTTAAGTTTGAGCAGAACCTATGATGACATGAAGCTATGAACAGGTCATGTGTGACACCGCTATGCACTGGTCCCCTCTTCCAGGCTCTTCAAAGCGACGGAGCTGGTGGGCCATGTGACTCCGAGCGGAGGAAAGCAGGATCGGCGGGCGATGGAACAACGGTGGCACCCCGATGTACTATATGTGTACCTCAGCATGATGTCTATTGCCATTTATAGTTCTATAGTGAAACATATGCATGCATATGATATGCGCATGTGGTCGAAGATATCATTGATGATTGCACTAGGTGGCAACTACTTTACCTTGTCATTCAAGATTCAAGATCTTAGATGCAGCAAGAAGATGTTATATACAGTATATAATACAGAAAGAGAGAGTGCAATCATTTGCAATCTCGAATCATGAATCCCGGCATGCTTGCTACTAGTTACTGTATTACCAGTTGCAGAATTTGCTGCGTTTGCTTCTCCGGGCGTTGAAGCGAACCATCTTCCGCCCATGCTCATCACCGTGACAAACAAAATGTTTGATACTTTTGCTGACAGGAGTGATTTGGAAGTGAGGGAATCACTCTCAAATATGCCAGAAAGAAAGTCCATCAAGTCAATAACTACGAAAAGCAAAAACAAGTTTAAAGAAGAACTGTTTCTTTCGTCAGAATGAACACTTGTGGACAAACACTGAGAAGATAGAACATGCTTTGGAAAACTCTGTTTTGGGCGACCAGCGGGGATGTTCCAAGTGCAGGTCTCAACAGCCCTGGGGTGTCAAAGTGTTTGTTCGTAAGTATAGATCCTTTGTGCCACAGGAAATGAGCTGCGGCTTTCCAGGTTTAGCTCAAAAAATGGAAAATGATGTGGCAATGGGGTGGGTTGTAGCAAAGGTAGTGTACTGCCTCGAAAAAGCACAGCTTCAACACACCGCTGAAAATATGAAACACTTGCCAAATGAAACACATGCCAGGTTTGTGAATGTTTGCCTGAGCATTAAGAGAAACATGTTTTAGCATGTGCTTTGCAGGTTCTAAGTGTTGGTGTCCCTCAATGTTCTAAGTTTGTGTTGTAAACTTCGAAGTGGCGCTTTCCTTTGTATGGTAGAGGTTCTTTTACATGTTCGTAGAGTCTGGAAAGTTTGTTACTATAATAAGAGTATATCCTTGTCCATGAGTGTGGAGAATCACTTCTGAGGCACGAGTTGCTGAACATCTAGAAATACAATACTTGTAGCATGTTGTAGCTTCAGAGTATATTAAAGGGTCTGGAGTCTGACGCATTAAGGGATATGGAACATCGTGGGTATAAGACACGATGGTGTTCAGCTTACAACGATGAAAAAAACCAGGGAAAAGTGTCCCTCCTGCTTCAAAATGCTGTGATACATGTAATTGCATGACTCACACATAAAGGATTGCAACCAATACCAAGAAAACACAAGCATTTGATAATTGGATCATATTGGATCTATGTTTTAATGACATCAAACTTCAGTATCGGGACAACCATTTCAATTTGCCGTCATATACAACTGCAAAACGTATATAAAACGGAATATGAAGGCACACCAAAAGAAGCAGCAAAAGGAGGAAATCCACAAGACTTGAACATCCTAAAAGTACATCAAAAGCAGGAATAGAGTAGAGCCTTAAGGTAAGGCCGTCACAAAAGGAAGAAACTAGGTATGAATGATTAACCGTTTAAACCATGCTTTGCAAGGAATTGACTGTTGGACAGATCAAGTCTAGACAAAGCATGGAGGGTGCAGTAGAGGAAATTGATCATGGAGGCGTTTAAATCGAATAGACTGTCCAGTCTGTGGTAGAAGATAGTCTTGTCTAAACAACATATGCATGAAAAATCTTTGGGAAAGGAATAGACTACTGTAAGTGTAATCAGGGTAATTCAATTTTGTGACATTTGCAGTGGAATCCGTTTGAAGTTGTTCTTAAGGTGGTGTTTTGCATGATGAAAAAAGGAATTGGAAACAGCATCGACGTCAGCTTTGGGTAAGTTCTTGGCGGGGGGGTCATATTTGTATATGTACAGGACACTTTTGTCATTAATCTTACTTATATGCATGCTGCATAAATGCATATGCCATATTATGCCGTGTAATATGGAACACATACAAGCAGTTCCCGGGCAAGCCGGCGGCGGAAGTTTCCTATAAAAACAATTTGACCTATTGGAGTGTCCCTTCGCACATGCCCTGCGGACCCCTTTTTTTTCCCGGCGCGCAACGATGGCGTCATGCAAGCAGCCCACAACTGCGTAGTCGCTCTGGCACTGTGCATGCGGGTCACACCACCGCACGTCGGAGTGAATGTAGTTACACAGGACTCCGAATTTGCGTGTACAACCTGTCATACTTGCTCAACCAGAGTCTTAACAATGAATGCAACCAAAGACTGTAAGTATGAACTGTGCCAAGAAGGAAACTCACTATCTGACAACCAGGTCCACGACTTGCACTCGGAATGTTACTTGCACACTCGGAATGTACGAGACATCCTTCCAAACCGCTTTAGCTAACTGGAGCTAAAGCTGACTAGAGCTAGAGCTACCTAGAGCTAGAGAGCTGCCTGGAACTAGAGCTGACTACTAGAGCTAGAGCTGATGAAAGTCCGTAACAGAGAAGTATGCATTTTGTACGAGACTTCCTTCCAAAGTGCATGTTGCACACCAGCAAAACGAAGCAATTCTGCGAGACTTCCTCCAAAAATGTAACTGGAAGACATGATCCAACCAGACATGAAAGTGCCATTTACATTGCGGGAACGATCCTGAAGCTGCAAAACACAATGAAATTCCAGCGACAGCTCATCCACCAGCAACACTTGCAGTCACATTTACAGTGCGGAAACCATCCAGGTGTTGCAAAAGGCAATGGAATTCCATCAACAGCACGTACACAAGAAACAGGCGAAAGCTCTAGTTACAATGGATCGGAGGGACAATTCGAACATGATCCGAGAATGACGCGAGGACGTTCCGCAACTGTCGTTCCGCAGAGCTTGACTTGCCAGGCTCGGAGCCAGCCACCCTTTGTATTGAAAAAACACAGCATTTCGTGCGTCCGCTATCTCTCGAAAATTCATTTTGTACGAGACTTCCTTCCAAAGTGCACGTTGAACACCTGCAAAACAAAGCCATTCTGCGAGACTTCCTTCCAAAATGCATGTTGAAGAGCTGGCTGGAACTAGAGCTAACTAGAGCTAGAGCTTTTGAATAACGCATTTTGTACGAGACTTCCTTCCAAAATGCATGTTGAAGAGTTAACTGGAACTAGAGCTAACTAGAGCTGGAGCTGTTGAAAAAATGCATTTTGTACGAGACGTCCTTCCATGACTGAAACTACAGCTAACTAAAGAAGGTAGAGCTGACTGGAGTTAGAGCAAGCTAAAGCTAGAGCTGACTGGAGTTAGAGCTGACTAAAGCTAGAGCTAACTGGAGTTAGAGATAACTAAAGCTAGAGCTGACTGGAGCTAAAAGCTGATTAGTAGTAGTAGTCGTCGTCGTCGTCGTGGTAGTAGTAGTAGTAGTAGGTAGTCGGTAGTAGGTAGTAGGTAGTAGTAGTAGAAGTAGGTAGTAGTAGTAGAAGTAGTAGTAGTAGTACTAGAAGTAGTAGAAGTAGAAGTAGAAGTAGAAGTAGTAGTAGGTAGTAGTAGCTAGTAGTAGAGTAGTAGTAGGTAGTAGTAGTAGTAGGTAGTAGTAGGTAGTAGTAGGTCGTAGGTCCTGGGTCGTGGGTGGTAGGTGGTAGGTAGTAGGTAGTAGGTAGTAGGTAGTAAGTAGTAGTGGTAGTAGTAGTAGTGGTAGTGGTAGTGGTAGTGGTAGTAGTAGTAGTAGTAGTCGCGGTAGTAGTAGTATGTAGTAGTAAATAGTAGTAAGTAGTAGTGTGTAGTAGTATGTAGTAGTAGTTAGTGTTAGTGTTAGTGTTAGTGTTAGTGTTAGTAGTAGTAGTAGTAGTAGTAGCTGTTGAAAGTCCGTAACACGGAAGTTTTGCATCCTAAACTTCCTTTGATTAGAAATACTCTAGATGTGTAGTGTTGATTTTTTGTCATGATGAACTGGCAGTTAGGCAAGTTTTGCATTGGCTGTGAGGGCCAACGCCAGTGAGTCACGTGTTGGATCATGGTTCTGAGGGTCGAACGGCGGGATGCCTACTGTAGGGTTCCTGTCACGACAACTGAACACCTCCAACCATCTCCAACCGCAGGGAGACCAGGAGAGTTGTTATTACTCGGGAGGTACTCAGTGGCTTTAAGTTCCTCACAAGAAATACATCAATGAACTACCAACTTTGGCAACACATAATTGTCACTCCAATCTTTTTACTGGGTTCGCCATTGTTGCCAAACCAGCCTTGCCAGGTGAGGCAAGGTATGCAGATATCGAGACTTTAGAGGCTCGGGCCAGACTTGACACTCAATGGAGTGTGTTCTATGCTGTGACCTAATGGCAGGCTCAAATTCTGGACTACTGCGATGATCTCGCAAGGCAAGGAGATGATCTTTGGATTTGGTTCAGTAGTCAGTAGTCATGGCATTTGCCTGTGGCAGCTGAATGGGACGGGTTCCCCTTGTCAGTCATCCATTTCAACCAATTTATCCCCGGTCTCAGGTCCCCAACTGGAAAGGTGGATTGGCCTCAACGGGCTAGAGACCTCCAAAGCAGCTTGCAGGCAGGAGTTTTGAACAGTTTGAGAGTGTTGTTGTTTTGAAGATAGACATGTATTGGACATTATTGACATACATTTACATTGCAGTATATTGCAGTTATGGCTAGTTGTGCAGTGAAAAACCTTTTTGGCACGCCATCAATTGTGTACATACATGTGCCAGGACATCGCAATGCGGTATGTTTGGAGCCCTTGGTCGACAGTCGACACCTGATGGCTGATCCGAGCTTTGAACCCAATTATGGGCAGGAGGAATGTTGCAAGCCGCAAGCAATGGTTTCCATAGGTGTTGACGATGTGTTGAGGTGCGGCCCTTGCATTGAAAGTGGCAAGACCGGCCCTGACATCAACCCACTTCCTTGACTCCTTTCTCGTCTCTATCAGATGCGCGATCATTGTTTGTCCTGATGGGTTCATGATCCGCGACTATGGGGTTGACTGGCTCGAAGGGTATGCTAGCTGCAGCCGTCATTGGGTTCCGAAGCCTTCAGCGCGATTGCCCAACTCCGGTTCACAATACTATGCATGATCAACACCATGCCGTTCCATACCTGAACGAGCTTAGTTACCTACACGCTTGTCCGGCCATCCCTTAATGAGGTGTTGCAGTTGCGAAATGTTTAAATTGTATCCAGTGCACAAGTACATACACTTGCTATGTTTGAAAGGAAGGCCGCACACTTTTGCTCAGGCTCAGCAGTCATTGGTGTCCCTGCTGCTACCACTGCTAACCTGGGTACTCAGGTGGTGGGTCGGTGGGTGTGTGAGGCTGTTGTTCGGTTGGGGCGCCAAACAGACACTGCTTTGATTTGTATATGGATGACCTTTGAATATGGATGACCTACAATATCAATTCATAACTGCACTTGGGTCTTGTCGTTGGTTCCCGGAAGTCGCAATGGCTCCTGGGCTGCTTTGGTTCTTTGCTGTTAGAACTCACCTCAGTGTGGACAGGCTTTGCAGGGCAGCGGAAGCCGCTTCTGAGGCTCAGCAGTATCACATGTTTAAATAGGTTGTAGATGTTGCCTTGAATATCCTTAAATGTGTTTTGTTCCTAAGATATTCTTGTTTGGACATTCTCAACCAATTATGAAGGGGTGGACGGTGCAATTGCTAGCAGGAATGACACCCGGATATTTGTAGAATTGTTTTCATGCATGATTGGGCACTTGACAGATCGCCTGCAAAAGCGCAAACCACGCAACAGAAGGCTTCTTCAGCAGCTTCATTTTCAGGGAGACTATTCGATAGAACTTTTGACTGACTTTTGCCCGGTGAGTGAGGAGGCAGTGGGGCTTCTCAAAGCAGCCCATGAGGCGAGAGTTCATTGTCATTTCGACGCGGTTGGGTGGGGAAGTGGGCCAAAGTGGGCGAGGCCTGTAGGCCATCGCAGGCCTGTGAGGCATCATGGTTGGAAGAGTTGGAAGTACGGGCAACAATGGTTTGAACAGATGAATTTGGATTTCATTCGAATGCTTTCAGTTTCCGGTCCATTGCGGTCCGGCCTCCAGGTGATGCGCACCTTGCGGGCCTTCTCAACGGAGGTCTTGAGGTGCATAGACCCGCTGCCCTTGTCAGGTTCCCAAGACCGACGGACCTCATTGTTAAAACAAAACAATCCGCACCGAACCAATTGAAAGATAATTGAAAGATGAGAGCTGGAGAATGATAGAGATATCAAGAAGGATTTTGGCATATTTTAGCTAACATTTAAGTATATTTCAAGTTGTTCAAGTATTTTTGGGAAGTGTAGCACATGTGTAGCACCACCCAATTGGAGAGCCAAGGTTCCGGTCTGCGCTGCAGAACCTCATTTGCCTTCAAGTGTTGAGCCAAAAGTCCGATGTCATCAGGAGAGCCTGACAGGTGATTTCTATGTTTGGACAAACTTTGTCAAACACCATGTTATGTCAAACCAATATCTATGTCGAACAATCTATAACACACAGACACACACACACACAGATATACAAATATATATATATATATAATATATATATATATATACACGTTATGTCAGTGATATGTTTTGTATTTACACAATTTGACACCCTCTTACATGCCGTTGGATCACCCACGCAGGGAACCCTGCGGGGCAGCTCAACACTTCGCAAGTGCTTTGTGCCTGCATCCGACACATGGTAACCTGGTAGCACATCCAATCCAAATAACTTGATCATTAAGTGAACTTCGACGACTCACCTTGCACAGGGCTGTGTTTACGCCCGCTTGCTTCCAGAAAAAATGAAATGCCAATAAACCACTGCAACCTCCACAGCATCACCAGCATCAGTAGCCCTTTGCACTCGTCAGGAACGCTTGTTATCCTATCTTAGCAAACTGTACACAAATACAAATTGTATTAACAAAAAGCTATTAGTATGTCTTTGAAGCTTCTTAGTAACAAGAAGCTACTAGGGTGGAGGCCATTGCTACTAGTAACAAGAAGCTTGATGATTTGAGAATCATCTCCTCTATGCACATTTTGTGGATTCAAGAGGCAGCCGAGGCATCCTCTCTGAGCTGAAACGGTCACCCAGAAGATGCGCCACTTGCAAATATGTGCAGTTTTGCCCCAAGCAAAAACCTAGTGTGCCGGGGGAGGGCTTTCTTGCATTGTTCAGGAGGTGCACTACACCAGCTGGCAGCTCAGTGATGGGGCAGTTGAATGTGAAAGAAGTGCGGATGCCTGCGGAATGATGAAATTTGAGACTCAAAAAGACATCTTCAGGACTCAGGACTGCAAAACCGAAAACCCTTCTTTAGGTCCTTAGTGGATAGCGTTGGGGTCACGTGACCTGGTCAGATATTGCTGGAAGTGCCGCCCTTCCTGGCGCGGCTGATGGACACGGTGGAGGCGGGTGGAGGGGCACCCGAAGAATTGAACCTCAGAAGAAACCTTGTTGTTAAGAAGGTCGTGCCGTGCAAAACGACAAAGCAACTTGTTGATCAACTATTTTGTGCCCAAGCCAATCGCAGATGGCATGGTGTCTTATTGAGGGACAGAACGAATTTGGGCACTTTTCAATGAGAGTTAGTTGGTGATTGATGGTCATTGTCCTTTTGGTCACGCTTTGCTTGACCAACCAACTGGAGAAACACTCACTGCAGTTTGTCACAAGAGAGAAATGATTTGTTTTTGTTGCTGTGTTTTCGTCGGCCGAGAAGCAGTAGAGGCAGGGAAGCAGTTGCTGGCTTGGCTCCAACTGGTGCGGACACCCACAAAGTACGAGAAACAGGAGAAATGAACTGGCATGTCTTGGCTTATGGCTAAATTATGCTAAATTTGATATAGGCATGAGGTCTAGATGGGCATGACGCCCATCATTACACCATGGGTCCAATGTAAAACTGTCAGACTTCTTTGAGAGTGTTTTGCATTGACACTTTGGGAAAGGCTGAACAGCAACCACATTCTTGTTGGCAGTCATCACAGCGAACAGAGACCCATATAGACATAGAGAAACATGTATATTATACAATTATATACATATATTGAAGACCTTTGAACTTTGAAGCGATGGGGTCTAGCAAAAAAAGCACTTCTGGCTGCCCTGGCTACGGCTTGTAGCAGACACCCTGCATATCCCCCATAGTCGATTGGCTGCCTGAGGCCTCAGAGCTTCTTCTTGACAAAGCGCCGCAGTCTGAGATAGATGTGCTCATAGGGAAGATAAAAGAAAGGCAAATGCCAGAGGATCCTGTTTGTATTGGTCAACAGATTCTTAAGTTCTTGGATGACATGGTACGTTGTATTGGTTGGCTGGAGCTTTCAGGCTCAAGACCACCCACAGCAGTTTGCAAGTTGGGACCTCAGAGTGGGAACCTGCTCTGGTGGAACACCTGGTTTTGCAGCGAACCAATAGTGCTACACCAGTCCTGCTACACCCGACCTGACAAGCAGGATGAGAAGAGAGTGCATTGGTTTCCCAGAGAATCCATTGTAAAGCAATGCAAAACAACTTGATGATTGACCTCAACTGGTGTAGTCTAGTAACATACTATAAATAAAACGTAATGTGATGCAATAGACGTAATATCCAGCAATGCATTTCAAACACACCCCCAAGAAGCTGCTGACATTGGATTACCCAGGCTCGAAAATCCTGGGTGCCGTGGCTGAGATAAGCTTGACTGAAAGAATCTTGGATTTTGTGTTTTGCATCAATATATATGTTGGTTTAATTACTAATACTAACTGTTACTACTGTTTGTCGGAGTAGTGGTGTGTTGGTGGTAGTGGTGGCAGTCATGTTGGTGGTGGTTGTGGTGGTTGTGGTGGTCGTAGTCCTACTCTGTAGTCATCCTAGTCGTAGTTATGGTAGTTGTAGTTGTAGTAGTCATAGTAGTCCTAGTGCTGGCCCTAGTAGTAGTAGTAGTAGTAGTAGTAGTAGTAGTAGTAGTAGTAGTAGTAGTAGTAGTAGTAGTAACTTAGTAGTAGTAACTTAGTAGGTAGTAGTAGCTTAGTAAGTAGTAGTAGCTTAGTAAGTAGTAGTAGTAACTTAGTAGCAGTAGTAGTAGTAGTAGGAGTAGATAGTAGTAATAGTAACTTAGTAGGTAGTAGTAGTAGCAGTAGTAGTAGTGGTGGTAGTAGTAGTAGTAGTGGTGGTAGTAGTAGTAGTAGTCGTAGTCGTAGTCGTAGTGGTAGTCGTAGTAGTAGTAGTAGTAGTAGTAGTAGTAGTAGTAGTAGTAGTAGTAGT